TGGACGAAAAATTTAGGCACATTCCTGAATTTTTTTCTCGAAACTGCGTAGGATTTCGTGGGTATGTCTATTCACCAAAAATGATTGTAATTGGCCCCTGCAACCGATAGTATTTTTTTCAATACGATATGAAATTTTTTAATTTCGTCGAAAAACTTGCCCACCTTTCTGAATTTTTTCCTCGAAACAGCGTAGGATTTCGGGGGCATGTCTGTTCACCAAAAATTATTGTAATCAACCCCTGCAACCGATAGTAATTTTTTCAATACGATTTGAAAATTTTTTTTTTTGACGAAAAATTTAGGCACCTATCCCTGTCGATTTTTCTTAAGAATTCGTTTCTCATTTCTAATAATTTTGTTTGACGCCCTACAGAAAAGTTGTCTAATACTTTTTTGTAGGTACCCACGAGCTCTACTTCAGAAAAAAGTTTCATTGAAATATATTCACTATTGTAGGAGTTCTGGACGTTTGAAAATTGGACCATTTTTATGGGGGTTTTTCTTATTTTACGAAGTCAAGGAACAACTTTTTGAATAGTTTTGCAACTTCTACATATTCTCCACTAAAATACGCGTAGTTAGCACTTTGAAACATTAAAATCGTCCAATCCGTTCAGGAGTTATGACGTTTTAAAGATTCGCATGACATTTCGGGGTAACATTTCTGGCCAGAAATTATATTTTCGTTAAGGAATTTTTTTCTCGAAACTGCGTAGGATTTCGGGGGTATGTCTGTTCACCAAAAATGATTGTAATCGACCCGTGCAACCGATAATAATTTTTTCAGAATGATTGGAAATTTTTTAATTTCGTCGAAATTTGTCCACCTTCCTGAATTTTTTTCTCGAAAGTGGATAGGAATTCGAGAATAGGTCTATTCACCAAAAATGATTGTAATCGATCCCTGCAGCCGATAATAATTTTTTCAATACGATTTAAAATTTTTTAATTTCGTCGAAAAACTTGCCCACCTTCCTGAATTTTTTTCTCGAAACTGCGTAGGATTTCGGGGGTATGTCTATCCACCAAAAATGATTGTAATCAACCCCTGCAACCGATAGTAATTTTTTCAATACGATTTGAAATTTTTTAATTTCGTCGAAAAACTTGCCCACCTCCTATTATAGTTATTCACATTTCTAAACGTGAAAATGTAAAATTTCTTTGGCCTAGCTTGTTATCAAATCACGAGACGATCGCGATCCCTAAGAAATTGTCTCGAGGTCGATTTCTGGATTTGAAAAACATTCGGAAAGTCGATTTCCGTGGAGAAGCGCGATCAAGGATCCTCCGGTCGAAGCTGCGGTCGTTGGAGCGATCGATCGATGACCGATCGACCTCGTTTCGACGCCTCGTGGCGAGCCTCGATTGATTTTTCCTGGTGTTCGGCTGCTATCGCGTTCGAGTATCGGAATTCCACCTTTCCCCCCACTTCTGTTCGTCGCTGGCTCTTTAATTGCAACACCTTGCGCCGGACGATTAATTAATGCGACTCGAATCGACCTCGATCGACCGTAACGGTGGACGATTCCCCGCGAGTAATCTTAACGACGCGATAGCGGCCACGCGAAGAAGCTTATCTGAATAAGCGATAATTGAGCGTCCATTTTTCCTCGTTTTTTTTCTCGCCGCGTCGACGAAGGAAACGCCGTGGCGGTGGCAGAAGGAAATTCGACGCGTTGCAATTAATTTTCGCGCGTCCGCGTCCGGTTATGCGCGCTTTATCCGCTTTGTTGGCACTCCTGCCGCGGCTTATCGACGAGAAATGCACCGTGCGAGCTTAATTACCATGAGAAATTAGACCGGTAACCCGTTGGACAGCTGGCGTAGTCGGTTTCTTCGAACGTTTCGGTGCCTCTTCGTTTGTTCGGCTTTAACAGTATCCATTACCGACGTTGGAAACTTGTATATTTTTACGGCACGCGAAAGAAAACTCCCCGAGTCGAAACGCGTAATGTCGAACATTACGCTCGTCCAAGACTGTGAATCAAGTCGTCCGCGATACCGAGGATCGTTTTAGCGTATCGTACAAACGTACAATCTTTTCCTCGTTATTCACGAATTCCGTTATACAAAGTATAAGCTCGCGGCCAGCGTACGATCGGTCTTCCATCAGCTTCCGGATAATTACAGTAAGCGTGTAATAATGAAGTTCCATCATATACTGGAATTACGTCATACGGCGAACCGGAGTTGCGAGATTCCGTAAGTAATGAGTTTGATGCGGTATGGTACGGAAGAAGGTGATTACAGCCAACCGGGCAAGAATCTCGAGGAACGAGACAAAGGGGAAACGATCAAACTTCCAGCCACTTTTAATCAATTTAAAAACAAATTCGAAGCTTGTCCTTCCCGAGAATCTGCATCGAAATCGAGACTCGGCTTGTCCGTCTTTCACTGACCGTTTCTACTCGCGTCCGTGCTTCTAATTCTCGATCGTATTTGCCTCTCGTCCATTCGTATTATTCCCCGAGCGATTCTATCCCACCAAAACAGTTAACAAACAACGCGTAATGCCTGCTGAGATTGAAGATTAAATCAAAACAAGCGTGGCGATTACAAACGCGATTTAACTTCATCGTCCATTGAACGTTTCGACTCCTCGGTACGCGAGTTTGGCTCAATTAACGAAATAATTACCAAACCGGATGCTGTATTTAACGCGAGCATTAATTACTCGCGACTAGGTGGGCTCGTACTAACGCGGAGCATTTTTACTTCTTTGCGTGTAACGTGAAATGATAAATTACAGACTACTTGGAGATATCACTGTGCCTCCGCTGAAAACTACCCCGAAAAAAAAAAAATCATTACACGTTCTCTGTTCCCTCCGCCGCGATTCTCGATCGAAGTGTCGCTCGGTTTTAGAAAACTGAATAAATGGCGAAGAAATATTTATTTTCGCGTCGCGAGGGTAGTTTCGAGAGACGCTGCGAGCCCCCGTATAGGGCGAGACGGAGAGACTTTAATTACCGGCGGGTGAATTCGCAACCGGACGCACCCACGGGGCAGATTACCCCGGTAATATTACCGAGTTTTATTGCGGGGAGAGAAAAGTCGAGGTCTGAATGCGGCATGACTCACGGCATACTCATCTGGCACCGATGTTTCTGCTCTTATTGCAGCCGCTGATACCCCCGTCCCTCCGCCACCCTCCTGTCATTCCTGTTTCTCTTCCAGCGACTACCCCCGACCCTTCAACGTCCATCCCTCTCTGTCCCGAGCCACCCTCGATCCTCCTCCGCGTTCCTTTCCACCCCTCGCTCGGTTTCCCCTTGGTCCTTCTGTTCTCCACCCCTCCCAGCATATCTCCTCTCGCGTCTCCTTCGTCACCGTTCGCGTCTCCGCCCTTGGACCGCTCTTTTTCATCCCGCAGCCCTCATCAGCCGCGAAAACGTAAGGAAAGTAACGTGAAAAGCCGCGCGACGCTCGATCGCTCGAAGGGCGCTCTGTTTTTGGAAATTAAAAGCGTCCGTAATCTCTATTTTATTCGCTGTAATAAATTCTCCGATGCAGCGTTTTGGATCCAGCTTGACAGGGTCAGCAGTGATCCAGGGATCGAACGGGGGATTAATATCATAAATAAACTTGATCGTCGAAGCAATATCGAGGCACCGTGCGAAAAAGGGGGTCGTAGTTATCAGAAATAAAATCACCGGAGCCCCGCGTGTCCGTCCAGAGGGGATTATGCGAGCGTTTAGCACCGCCATCCCTTTCGTTGGCACCGAATTGCACTTAGACGAGAAGGGGTGGCCCTACCCCTCGTAATCTGTCCTCTATTCAACTTGCACCCCCTCTTCGAGCTCCCTCCTCGACGTTGCATTCAACGGTTCATTCGAGGAAGCCTCCGCAAATAAAAATTACTCGCCAACTTCGGAATTTTTTTTATCGTTCGAAAACAATTTTTTCAACCCAGATCGAACTGTATACGTCTCTGTATATGTCTGAGTAATTTTTTGTTACGAAACAGAGTGTTCACCGTCGACTCTTCTTGAATATACTCGTTGCCAATTTGTTCCAGAATTTATCTAAACGAACAAAAATTTCCGGGACGCGTCGAATGGAACGACAGCTGTGACTTTTTTCCCCCCGGGTTTCAAATAAGGAGAGGTTCGTTGGGCCGTCGCAGGTTCCATTTAAAACAGGTTTCGTCGTAAGCGTGGCCTTATTATTGCCATCAGCGAGTAGCGTTCGCGATTCGATGCAATTTGTCGCCGATGACGAACACCGCGTCCAGGCGCGGTTTAACGTCCCGGCTCGTTCCCTTTAATAAAATGTTAATGGCGCACCAGTCACCGTCCCCTCGGAAGTATACCCGGCGTCGCGTCGTTGCATTACCGCTGCTTAATTGACGAATTAAAACGATCTGGCCGAGGCGAACCGTTGCGTCGCTGCGCGCAAAGTTACGCGAACATCAACGGAACATCCTCTTACGAAGTTTAGAACGTAAAGAATATTCTTCCGATATTAGAGAAATATTTCAATTTGTTTATCGAGGCTCCGCGAGAACCGCGAGTCGTTTTGTTGGACAAGCATTGTTCCAATATTTACGAGGGCTGTCGAAACGGGGCGAGCTTACTCTAAATAATGTCACGTTCGAATCGATGCGGCCCCGAAATTGACGCGTCGGTGCCGGCGTCGCGACGCCCGGTGACGTTCTGGCGCGAACTAAACGCCGGATAATCTCTCGTGAATGCGCGTGAATCCGTCGAGCGGAGCGAAGGGGCTCTAACGACGCGGGAATTTCGTCGAAATTCAGGTCGCGTAGTTCGCGATGAAAACGCGTCATTCGGGTCTTGCTACGTTTCTTCGCCGTTAATGGTTCTTCGCCAAAGTCTAACCCGTGGCGCCAGAACCACCTGATACGCGCACACTTTCACGGAACTCTGACCCAAATGTTCGTTGGGCCCAGGATGTTAATTTGGCGTCACTTTTTATATTTGTTCTACTGATAGTGAATTCGAGTGATTCATAAGGGATTTCTGTTTTGTTTTCCAGGTCTCAAGTACCTTCACTCGGCCAGAATCCTACACAGGGACATCAAGCCGGGTAATTTACTCGTGAATAGCAACTGCGTGCTGAAGGTGAGTACGAGGACCCTTCGAAGCAGAGATTAGGCAAGATTTTTAAATATTCCAAGGTATGGAAGGTGTTCTCGACTTCCTAAATTTGTATCTAGCTCAGAATTTTTGCCATCTCTGCTTTGGGGCAGCGATTAATTATGGAAAGAGTTGTGCTCGATCTCAAAGCACATCACAGGATGAATAGAGAAAAATTAGACACCAGAAATGCATCATTCTGTAGTTTGCCTCTGTGGTACAGTGGCCTAGTAATTCTCCGTGTAGTTATCAGGGGTGGGGGGATAAATAGAGATTAGGAAAGGAATTGATAAGTCTGAGGAGGCGAGCATCTCGAGAAGAGGATTGTACGTTTTCTCTGCGAACAGATCTGCGACTTCGGACTGGCCCGAGTGGAGGAGCCCGACCAGAACAAGCACATGACCCAGGAAGTGGTGACGCAGTATTATCGTGCACCGGAAATCCTGATGGGAGCGCGGCACTACACGGCCGCGGTGGACGTCTGGAGCGTCGGATGCATTTTCGGCGAACTTCTGCGTCGGCGGATCCTCTTCCAGGCGCAGAGTCCTGTGCAACAGGTCAGCCCCTCCGCCATTAAATCATTAACACCCCCCTGCGATCCCATTGCCCCCGGAAACCACCCCAAAACCATCGTCGAACCGTCGAGCAAGTGACAAAAATTCAAACGCAAATGAAACATTCGATCTCCAGAGTATCTCTCTTGTCTCTGGAACGAGGCATTGGCAAACATTGGAAACGATGCATTAATATGCAAATTATAAAAATGTTCTACCGGGGGAAAGGAAAAGGCTCGAAACTTTCGCGCATATACATTGTTATGAATATGCATCCTGAATTTATTTGTGGTATACGATATCAAAGTGTCCTGCAATTTCGCTAGTTTATGTTTCCTTCTTGTTCTGGCACGTTGAAATCCTTCATATTTGAGTTGACACTGGATTTAAAACCTTCAAGCTGTCTCGCTAATAAAAAAAATATATGTAAGAAGGGTCGACGAGGCAAACTCGTAAGGAGAAATGAAAAATTCTGGCGTCTCGGTTGACCACGAATCTCGTATGGAAAGTGGTCCCGTGCAGAGGGGTTTCCGGGCGGGCGATTTATTTCCCGGCGGCGTCCGTCGCCGGGTTCCTTTGGCGGACGTCTCCTTTGTCGAAAAAGGGCAGCGTTGTAAAATCGAGCACGTACTTGCAGCTGGAGCTGATCACGGAATTGCTGGGCACACCGACCCTCGAGGACATGAAGTACGCGTGCGAGGGTGCGAGATCCCACATGCTGAGGCGCGCACTGAAGCCACCCTCGCTGACGGCCCTCTACACCCTCAGCAGCCAGGCGACGCACGAGGCCGTCCATTTGCTCTGCCAGATGCTAGTCTTCGATCCCGTAAGTTTTTCAACGCCCCCCCCTAACCGAAGGGAGATCTGCCCTACGTTCGCGGTACAATGAACCGGTGTTCCGTTCGAATTCAACGGGCCAGTCATTTTCCCCCCATAAATCGATACCTCGACGAATCCTATCCAACGTTTTCGGCGAAACGACTGGATCTTTCAGCGTGGAGCACGCTTCTCTAATCATTCAGACGTCTTCCAACCCTTTAACAGTGGAATTTATTTCGCACGATTTCTCAATTTTACTTTGTTTACATTGTTTAGATAGTTGCTATGTTATGAATTATAATCAGAGTGACATAAATTGATTAGAGTTCGATGGGTGCGATATAAAGTTTTCTTCGTGCTAGAGTTTAGTTTATCTAACGCGTCTGACCATTGTTCGGTTTTTCTACTTGCATTTGGGCCACTTGCAAGGATCGAACTGTATTATTTGGTCCGACTGGTTCCAGCTAATTACGAAACGGTGAGATCGATGGAAAACCGATATTCCGGAACACCAACGCAAGTAGAAATAACTAGTAATGGACAGACACGTGTGGAAATTACGCGCGCAAAAATTTTCAAAATCAATTTACTCGGAAACCGAGCGTCGTACGAGCAATTGTTATTCTTCGTTTTCGAGTCGCTTTTTCGCGTAGAATCATCATTTACCGGACATCCTGTATATATATGAATATATATGAGTCAAACGATGAGTTACGATGCAACGAAGATTAATTAACGCAGAACTCGGTCTAGAATAGTATTCCGGAGCTTTCTTAATTGAAAAAAATTTCGTACAAATTGAATTTAATTTTTTAAGGGTAAAATCTGATAAATTTTCCCATTAGTCGTTCTGTATGGGGCGAAGAGAACTTTCCCCTGATAATTTCAAAAGTACAGTTCGAAACCGGATGAAAAATAATGACTGAAAAAAGCACGATGGAAGAGAAGGGAAATGTTTTATGCAGTGATAAAGTTGAAACTGTTGATACACAATGGCTCGTAGCTCTCGGACTCCACTGTTAAAGGGTTAATACCCTCCGTGATCCTCTGGATCCGCCTTCAAACATTCCATGAACCGTGCAAAGTGCTACTGATTTTCGTAACCATTTATACTTTAACTTTTCCCAACCTCACGATAGTACACTTGATATATTTATTAAACTAAATATTTTGCATAAAACAAGAGGTGTTCCTACAATAATTCCACGTTAATGTTCTGATAAATTTAAAGTCAGGTCAACGAAGAAAGTAAATAAAAAAGGTAAAGATTTCACTCGAAAATGAATCTCCGAGAGTTCAGTCGTGCTGGTACCTAAAGGGTTAATATCGAAACGACCGAAAAGAGGACCACTAGGGTCGGTACACGGTGTTTAAAGTTTCATAAAAAGAAAAAAACTATATTCGTGGATGGGGCCATAAGCATTCCATGGGGCCTTCGGCACTTCGTAAAGAATATTTCGAACGGGGGTTCGCGACGTCGTAAAGTCCACGCGAGAGGTATTCGTAACAAAAGTTGCAATAAAATCTTTACTGCCCAAGTTAAAACGACAAGTACAGAGGGGAAAAAACTTGTCGAAGACGCACGAAATAAATGCAGGGCAAAAGAGTCGTTGTTTCTCGCCTCAAAACAAATTGTTTAATAACGAAATAGAAGTTACAGCTGATAGTTTTGCATAGTCGGTGGATATTTGAATTTAAAAATAATTCGAGTGAATTATACGGATCCGTACAGAAGCAGCTTTGAATTTTTTTGGGAACGAGTATGAATGCTTGTTCGAATAAGATTTTGCCCATCTCTGGCGGTATCTTTGTAGGTTACTAAGCACTCATTATAGTGCAGGGACACGCCAACGCTTTACAACCTACTTTCCTAAATCTCGCGCTCGAATGTTTCGATGTTTAAACGACAGAGCCGGACCATGTAAAACTTCCACGATCGTTTAACGGGAGGACGTTAAACGGGACCTTCGAGCCATATACAGAGTGTCCCGCGACGAGAGGCTCGACCTAGAAACATCTGCGTTCAAAAATAAATCGAAAAAAATTGAATTCTGAAAAGATTAATTTAAGAAAAAAAAGAGGTCTCAACTTCGAGGAACTCTCGATTCTATTCTACCGAGTTTATACTATATTATCTAATTTTTATATTTTCCCACGAGCATCAAACTCAGCGAACCGAATTTCGCTAAAGCAGGCGTGCCGCGACCGTTCCAAAATTAATTTTCTCGCGAATAAAACCCCGTATGGGATAAAATTATTCTACATTTTCGATTTATTCATGCATACAGTCGCGTTTTTGATCGCCGGCCACTCGTTACAGGACACCCTGTACGTTCGAACAAAAGCCACCGAAGTAACTGTTTCGAATATTAAACATGGCCGACTAGCTAATTTAATTAAACTTTCGGTGCGTCGAAAGATCGTCGGTTATTTATTCTGAGCCTCCAATTTCGATTCTAACGCTGACCGAAAGGGATAAAAAATAATTAAATATTCCTCGATCGGTGGAAAATTAATTTATTACAGTCTTGATCGTTACTAGACTCTTCGACGAGGGGTTCTTGATGCTCTGATAAATTTCGAAAAATTCAAGATTAGAAAATTAGAAATCCCTAAAATTGGATAAAATTCGACACGCCCAGTCGAATGAATTCGTCCGTGCCCTCCGCGGATAAATAACGATCGTTGAGCAGCCTGGTGGATAGCGCAAAGGGCAAAGGGCACGGGTCGGTTTTCGACCGGGGTTTTTTTTATCGTTCGTTGACCTCGATTCACGAACTTCCCACAGGACAAGAGGATCACCGTGGTAGATGCTCTGGCGCATCCTTATCTCGACGAGGGAAGACTCAGATATCACTCGTGCATGTGCACGTGCTGCTACACGACCAGCGCGGGCTTGAGACAGTACACAGGGGACTTCGAGCCAGCCACGTCTCATCCTTTCGACGATCTCTGGGAGCGGAAACTCACCACCGTGCAGCAGGTGAAAGGTAAGGAACCTTCGACGGGACGGGTATCCCGGAAAACGAGCATCCCGGATGCGTTTTCGTGCGGGTAATTGCGACGTTCGGTCCGAGAAATCGACGATACGATCGGGAAGGACTTCCTTCCTTCCCGGGGCAGACTTTTGTTCACCGACTTCGAGCACGAGTCGTTGATTGTCGGTGAGGAAGATAATTCTTAGGTTAACACATACGTTAAGTTTTAGTCTGGATCGGGAATCGAGTGCATCGAGATATTTTTAAGAGCTGTTAAAGTGGGAGTGCAAATATGCTTCGTTCAAGTTCTTGATAGTCTAAATTGAACAGTACATAAAGTTTCTAACGAATCATCTCTCGCAGAGTTACGACGTATTAAAGGAAAGACCACATTTCCATTTCACTGTGCCAGTCGGGGGTTGATAGCGTTGGGAATGTTAAAGGGACTAGGAGCTGGTGAAATGGTGTAAAGTTTGATCGAGGCATACGGTGCCCTAGCCAAGTATTTGATAGTTTACGTTAAGTCTGACTCGTCGCAAGTTCTTGATATCAAGTTGTATAATCATGAGACTGCTCTCATTTGTCATCGAGTCTTATCAACACATATTTGCACTCACGAGACATTCGTAAATCTATTCTTACTTGTAGCGATTCCTTGTACGAACAAACTTAAACAGAATTAAATAGTATACGTGTTTAACACTAAAACTACCGACAATTATAGTGTGTTTATTTGTATCAAGGAAATTGAAGAAATGTATAATGCAATAGAAATAAGTGTTTATTAATTCTCTTATAGAAAATTACGATAAATTTCCAAAAATTCAGTCGAGTAAATTTTTTACAGGTTTATTAGAAATTACGAATGGGTCATTTTGACTGGTTTGGTAGTTCTAGTGTTAGTATATAGTTCAATTTTTGATTAAACGTTTAAAAAGCCTGATACAGGTAATTTTCGTTCCATTCTACCAGTTTTGAGTTAGTATTCCGTGCCCGTGAACGAATCACGGAGCGGCTAATAGTTTCGCCCCTTCGACTTTCGAAGTTATAATTCGATTCGCAGACTCCATTCGAGTTTCTCGCCTCGAATTACTTCTGAAACCACCCCGTCGATCGAAGGGGTGCCCCGACACCGAGAAATTCAGCGGCACCGATTGATCGACGCCGTACGAAGATCGCTAATAAAGCGTTACGACGCGAGCTCGTGAATTTTCCACGGTGCGGCGATTTTAGGGCAGTAGATAATCCCCTCCTGGAGGGCCCGAGTCGGTCGAGTTAGCTTCGTTGCCGCCTCGTAAATCGAACCGTATTCGTGGTCCAATAAAATTGTCGCGATCCAAATACACCGTAGATCCTAGATAATTTTTATGTTATAGCAACGAGTATGGAATTCTTCTACCGCAATAATTTCATTTAATTAAATATTCTTTTTCGGAGCTACTCCTATACTGGAGAATATTCGCGTTATCGAGTATCATAATTGCATTTTTAATTAAAATTTCTATCACGGTTAAAAGGCTTCCAATCTATTTTCTATTTTCGAATATCATATTTCCCTTAGATAAATAATTACGTTTGATAATTACAAGCAAATTGCATTATGCAACCCCCTTATTTTCCAGGTGGTCACCGTGCAATTTTTATTAAATTTTCCAATCTGTTCTATTTTAAACGTTTTTAATTTACACTCGTTCGAATGGAGTCACGAAGATTTTGCTTTGGAGTGGTTCGAGGGGGCAAAAGTCCCCCGAACGAGAGCGAGGAGAATTATAGGCGAACGGGCGGCGTTTACCAACGGGGAGATTAACTAGCGCGGGTTTCCGCGGTGAGAAAAATCGCGTCTCTCGTCGTGAGTCACGCGCATTATTAATAGTTTAAACGTCTTAGGCACGTGGCTGACCGCAGCGAGAACAATGATGCGATAGACTCTCGCGTGTGCTCGGAACAGAGGCGAACGCTCGGTCGCGATAAATCATAGTTTATCACCACCGTGGCCAGGGGACCGTGAAGTTATCGCGTATGACTTTCTTCCTCGTAATCGCCTCGAAACTGGGTCTAATATCGCGTTTGATAATTGCACGACACGCGGGACTCGTTGCGCCGAGGGTTAAGAATCGAAAGAAATATTTGTCCGTTCACAGTCTAACAAATACGCATAGAAATCATTAGAAACAACGATGATAAACAGTAAATTATTTTTATATCAAAGTCACTCACTGATCTATAAAACAATCAAAGAGTAAAAGATAAAATGGGGCTGAAATTTGCAAGGGTGGATTTTCCATTAAAAAACAAACCAAAATTATTTAATAAAATTTATTTGTACCGGGTAACGTTCCCTGGAAAAACGATTTCGAAGACTGTGCATAGCACTCGGTAAAACTTGGCATTTCGGACCATTACCGGGGTATTTCTACTCGCGTTTGTATTTGTAAACATTGATAGCGATATGGTACCATCAATTTTCCACCGAGCTCCCTATCTTTTAACCAAATGAAACCAGTTTAAACAGATAATACCGCGCCATCAATGTTTCTAACCGCCCGGCGCAAGTAGAAGCAACGACCGATGGTCAGACGCGAGCCAAATCGTTCTAGATCTCGATTTCCTCGTAAACGAATCGTCGTTGAAAAAATTTCGTTTCGCAACTTTCGTTCATTTTTACATTCTCCTTCGTTCACCCTACGAATTAAAAAAAAAACTTTACGTTTTATTAAATTGCTTTATTTAGAGATATCGATGTAAATCTCCAGATCAGATTCCAACCATGAATATTCGTGTTCCCCTTCTATTTTAGTTCTGTACTTCTCCCGCTTGTAAATACACGATCGCGCGAAGAATTTTCAAAGGCAATTAACCGCGAACGCGCGGCCGTCGCTCGAGCCCGTGTTTTTTCGAATAATTTCCGCGGGATATTTGCGGGAGCAATTAAAGCTCGCAATCTTCCCCTTCTCGCGCGGCTATTTGTCCGTTTAACGAACGTTATTCGGTCGGTTCTTGCGCGTTGAACAAACGCATCAAAAAATAAAATGTAAAACTTTAAACGAACCGCGCGTTTAATTCATTCGCGGGACGAAACATTCGACCTGACAATTTCTAACTGTTCCGGTAATTACTGTGCCACGAAATTAATTTTATTTCATTGTGACGCGATTTGGAGCAAATTCGCGAGCTTCAGGCCATTTTCTGCATCCCCGATTCAGCAAAGTTTTGAGCAAATGCTCGGCTATATATAGATCAGTTTCTTTTCGCGGAAGCGTGCGTTGTCTGAACATGTAAATGGAACAGCTCGGGTGCACCGCGGAGCGAATGATTCACGTTGAATCACGAGTACGGGGAATATCGAAGAAGCAAATACGCGCTTTTGGGCTCGAAAATGTGCAGAGACTTTCGAATAAAGAGAACAACGGGCATTTGAAGTTTCGACGAAGACTCGAAAGTAGGCTCTTGGATCTATTAACTCTGTCATCCAAACTTTAGAACAGATTTTTATTTATTTATTTATTTATTCATTTGTTAACGGGTATTAAACCCTTTAGTACAAAGATGTAATATGCAAGGAACTACAGATGTGGATTTACGTAGTCAAACATTCTCGCTTAGTGAATGTAACAGAATAAATTAATTTACAATATGTTGCAAGGATAATCTTAGACTTTCTAATGATTGTTTTAGTGTGTACAAAATTTGCATTACTAATCATTCTATTTACACAATTCTGAGATCCAAAACGTAGTGCGGTAACTTTCAGAGTAAAATAAAAAGTGATTTCGAAATATGACCTTTGATTAGCTTACTTACAAACATGATATCTGCAATTCTTCTTGAGCAATGTTTGAAGATGCAGTGTTTGGAGGTTAGTACTAATAAGTAAGTTATCATAATTATGAGACTCGAGAGGCATGGGTCTCCCACTATGTCTAGCAACGATACGAAGATATTTATGTACATTTTGTGATAAGGAGACCAAATTATACAGCCATATTCTAGAATAGGTCTCGTAAAAGCACAATATAATTTTTATCGAGCTCTCGAAAATAGTCTGTGAGCCTAATTTAAGAAATTTAGAAGTTTACCAAATGATTTGTATCGTTTTGTTCTGCGTAAAGGCGCGTCTAACCCGACGATTCCGCTTGTCTGTTTCAGAGGAAATGCACAAATTTATAGCAGAACAGCTGAACACGTCGCGCGTGCCGCTCTGCATAAATCCGCAGTCCGCGGCGTTCAAGAGCTTCGCAAGGTAAGCCGCAGGTGGCGGATCGTCCAGGTTATAAACGATCGATGATTACTCGAGGCAAATAAAACAAAACAAAAAAAAGAAAGAAAGAAAGAACGTCGGCTAGGATAAAGTGAGAAGCGGCCAGCGAGGGCTGCTAGGGGCGAATCTGTGATCGGGGAAACCGGTGCCGCGGGATCGAAGCCCTCCCTTCACGGATCTAGCCCCTTCAATACCCCCCCAATCACCCTCCCTCGAAGACCAACCCCGTCGAATTTTCGCGCGTAAAATCGAAACGATCGAACGCGATGGGGGATGAAATGGTTCGCAAGACACAGCAGATACTTGTCTTTGCGTGTGTGTAATTTTTTTTTTTTTCTTTTTGTTTTCGTATTCGTCGGAAGTAGAGTCGAAGAAATCCACGGACTCAACCGTTCCGTAGAAACGATTAATTTTTTTTATCGCGGATGAGAGTTTCGTTCGAAATTTTTATTTTATCTCTCGACTCGCGGAGCGAACCGTTCGGTCCGTGGCTTCTGTAAGGACGAGTCGGATTAAAGAGACGCGGGGAAAGATGAGAGAGAGAGAGAGAGAGAGAGAGAGAGAGAGAGAGAGAGAGAGAGAAAGAGTGTCCGTGGTACGGAAATTAAAGAACCGTGGAGGTCGAGAGGGGAGAAAGAGTGCGAATGGGAGGAGTGACGGAGGGCCAGAACGATCGAAAACGAGCCAGAAGAAGCGATCTTTTGTCCCCCCCCACGAGCCTCTCTCGACTAACATCCTTTGGCCGTTCGGATCGAGAACCCGAGCCGAGGCTCCGGGTTGCTTCCGGACCGTTCCATGGGAAACGATTAAGTATTAACCGTGTCTACGAGCCGCGTGCGTGACGTAAGTATACGTGTATGTGTCTGTAAAAATATCGATGGAACGATTCGAGCACGAGATTCGCACCCTTTCACCCGATATACTTGCGCGAAGAGATCCGTAATCGTGGAATCGTGTAATTTTAAACGGGGTGAAATTGGAATCGAAACGAGGACACGCGTGTTTTGGGTATTCGTGATCGCGCTGGGTATTTTGAAAGACACGTTTTCGAGAAAGGGAGCTTCGATTGCTTCGAGCAAGCCACACTGTGGACGTGTGTGTTCAATGTAGTCGAGACGAAATTGGTTCAAGGCCGCTTGCTCTATCGCGAATCACGCTAGATTTCTATTTTTACGCCATTTTAGATTGCATCTCCGTTTAACACTTTCACTGTCCGTGATGGAAGGATAGATGCTACTCGGACGATAAATATTGCACGCGTTCTTTGTACATACGAGCGTAGAATAGACTTTTTTAGACGAGTCGAAACCGTGAATCGATAGACAGTGAACGTATATAGTAATTGTGATTATATCAATAGGTATCACACAGTGGGTGGGAGTAACTCCTCCCAGCGGGGCGGAGATAGCTTCTTTCAGTGGAGGAGGGACAGTCCTCCCAGTGGCCTTGGCTATCAATTCATTTTGCACCCGAGCATAGATCACCAAGTGGATAGCGTATATCCAGTCTTTCTCATTTTAAATCTACTTCGTATGCGTACGATAGCTTTGCAAAAACACTTACATTTGCCTTGTTCTTCCCAGAGACTCGATTTGCATTAACTCAGTATAATATAGCGACTCTAACGTTACTTGGCACAAGAAAATTCCTAACATACGATACTATGTTATTTAATCTATCATATTATCATCGATAACGTCGTCTTTCTGTACACCCTGCACGATCACAAATCTTCGAACGAACGCCCCTATAATCTTCCAAATTACCCAGAAAATAGTTCACCGACATTTACTCCAATAGTCACCCCGTAACCGGTTTAACAGCCCCAAATAATCGAAAGAGATCCCAATTTAAGGAAACTAAGCAAAGATAGTGCCAGTAGGAAGCGACAGTTGACGATCCAAAGTGATCGGAAGCGAATAGAAACAGTTCGATTCCCCTGGCCCCGTGAAATATAAATCTATATATTGAAAAATAAAGGAAAAAAAAAAAACAACTCATTCTGTTTCATATGATTTTCAAAATATGTAACATTTCTCGTGTTGCTTATTGCCGTCAAGTTAGAGCAAGCCGATCGCCGACCCAGCGCCCTGCGCCGCGTATACGTACACGTTACTACTACTACCAGTACCGAATCAACTATCTACCACTGTCAGCTACTATCGACTACTACCGCTATCGTCTACCACTACTACTACTACTACCGCTACTACCGCTACTACTACTACCAATCGTGTTACGTCTCCTCCTGAACGAACCGAACGAACCGAGAGTCAGCTCTAGTCGGCGCGACCTCGCTCGCAGAGGTACTTGAACAAACCATTTTACCACCTTACGTTTTGTGTTTACATTCTTTTTGTACTTATTTTCTATATACATACATATATATATATATATATATATTAAGTACATATATGTATATACCACAAATATACATAACTCTAGTTTCGTTGCCATCTCTTTATCATATGTCTCGTCGTGTATAGTTGCCACCTTGCTTCTTACATTCTGTTTAGAGATACTCTTGTATGGCTGATACTGTATATAATCAAACACACACATACATGTACACGTTCCATGCAATTGTCCCGATGAGTTTGTAGATCGTGTGTATATGTGTGTGCGTGTACGTGTATACTAGATTATTCGTGACACGCACGCCAAGCGGGGATGACACGATTCAAGGGCGAGGGAAATTTGTCGATCTGCTCCTCGAAGGTCCCGTGATTTTTTAAATTTTTCGAATAAACCTAGATGGTAGCTCCGGTGCAATTTTTCAGCGTAAATTTCGACGCTTTGCTTCGCGTTCCTCGACGCCAAACGCTTCCAGATGGTTTTCGGGGCGTCCGTGGCCATGGTTTTTTCGGAAGGTTGAACGCACTCGTGGCAGCTGGGTGCACAGCAAGCGATAAAGATAAAGAGGCGTGGACGACTCCCCCAGGGAGTCGAACCCACCGGGCTCTCGTCGAGTCTCATCGACGCTCGCGCCGTGAAAGACAACCGCCGGCGCTAATTAGCGCCCGTTTCGCGTACACGTAATTAACAGAATCTTCGACCGGCCTCGAACTCCGCGAAACGCGGAATAATCGTCCTGTAATTTTCGTAAACAATTCATTGCGAACGAGACCGATTCTGGAAGCGTGGACCGCGAAACTGGAGCAAAGATTAAATCTAATAAGTCTTGCAATTTCTTACGAGGACTCAGAATGATAAATGGAAAAATATTGACGATCGAAAAGAAATTTAGTCTGCGTTAAAGAAGCTATTAATACTGCTTGGATTTCGTTCCGGTCACCAACAGTTTCATTTAGTTTTCTGTTATTCGGCGCACACAACGCATCCCTGTCCCGTGAAGTCTGAATTTGGCTCGGAACCATCTGGAGTCCAGATATTAGATTGTGTCTTTCTACGGCAGAATACTGATAGGAGGAACTGGTGCAGAAAATTCGAGGAATCGTCCCTCGTTAAAGTAACTTCTCGATTTTTTATTTACAAGAATATCACTCGAACAGAAAACAGTTCTCCATTAGATCCTAAATTATTTATTTGCTTGCCATTGTTTTTAGATAAACATTCTCTACCGTTTTCCAGTCATCCACGTACGCAGAGAGAAAAATATATATTTTCTTATTGCTTTTCACAATTTGCGGATGACCAAGCGGTGGAGAACGTTTGCGAAACAGGGATCTGGGGGCCCTCGAGGAGCCTCAAAAAAATATGTCGCGGAAGAAATCGAGGAACGTTGAAAAGAGCTGTGTCATCCCTGTTAATACTTGGGTCTCGTCGCCGGTGTGCGTGCGTCGATCACGAGCCCCTGTGAAAGTGGTACCTTGTAAATAACGCTGAAAGAACGCTTGAAAAGAGCGCTTTGGTCGACACGACGAGTGTAAGAAGGCCTGATCAACCATGCAGCCTTCAGTTCAAAGAAACGTGTTCGAGAGCAAAAGAGAACAAACAGACGACCGCGTCGCGATTAATTGAAAGACAACGATCACGAAACGAGATAGACAAAAGGAAGGGGGTCAGAAAAAAATGTGTGCACTCTCTTTTAACGTCCACCCTTCGATCATGGTCGAACGAACGTCACGCGTTCGGACTCCCCTATCCATCGACGAATCCATCCTCTACGGTTTCCCGTATCGTTTTCTTCGATTGTTTTATTTTTAATCGCCGTCCACCGGAACTCCCGACGCGATCTGGCTGTTGGCACAATGACCGTAATCTCGAGAAATCGGCCATCGAGGAGATTGTAACCAAGAACATTGAATTTTCCATTACTTTCAACGCGTTGACTGACACGACTTTGAATTTGCAACATTTGAATATTAAAATTCGGTGAAAATAGCTGACCTTAGTAGACGGATTCTAGCGCTTCCGAGCTTTCAAATATCATCACTGCCATTATTACGTAATTATCGAATCGATGCGTGGCAGTCAACGCGTTGAGGAACCAACAGGTCTCTTCGAGAGAATCGTTTTTGTCAATTTTCTTTTGCAAAGGTCGATATTACGACGAGATTGTTGCTTCCTCCGGAGCGAGGCGCGAAAAGTGGAAGTCATTACTGTCATTTCGCCAAGTCCGGGACGCGACACGAGTTTCGGTGGGGATTCCCCGCGATTTGCTTTGCCAAGCGCGAACAGTTCGCAGCCGCTACGCGCGAAAACTCCGAATCCGCTCGAAACTTTGATCGTTTGGGCAGGAGGGGGTAGAATATAAATGTCAGGCAAGTTTCACTTCCGGGCTCGTTCCTGGTTCTCAAACGTTTAATATTTTTAGCATTTCAATGATAATCTCTTGTTATAATTACTTGTCACTTGTAACTGGATTAAATTTTGTTCGACCTCCGAAAGAATCGTTAGAAACGAAAGAGCAGGCGTTCTGATAAATCGTTCCGCTCTTAGGACCTGGAAACGGGGTTAAAATATCATACTCAAGATAGAAATTGCATCTGGGCCACTCGGCGAATCGAACGTAAAGAATG